AGAAAAAGCCAGAGAGTGTGACAGAAGCAAATTTTGCTGAGATGGATAAGAAGGCAAGATCCAGTATTATCTTAAATCTCTCTGATGAGGTTTTGCGGGAGGTAGCCACTGAGACTTCGGCAAAGGCCATGTGGGACAAACTTAAGGTCTTGTACATGAAGAAGACAGTTGAGAATCGGCTTTATTTAAAGCAAAGTTTGTATATGCTTCGCATGACTGAAGGTACATCTATACTCTCACATCTTGATAAATTTGATTCCATTATTATGGATTTGGGAAATATAGATTCAAAAATTGATGATGAGGATCAGGCCCTGTTACTTTTGTGTTCCCTTCCCCAATCTTTTAAACATTTTCGCGATACTATGATTTATGGAAAGAAACAATTTCGTATCGAAAATTAAATCTGCATTAAAATCTAAGGAGCAGATAGACAGGGATATTACTGAGAATTTAGTGGGGCCATGCAGAAGGTCTGGTTGTTAGGGGCAGAACTGAGAGAAGAGAATTTGATAAAAGTAGATCTAAATCTAGATCTAAATCCAGACATAGAAATGTGGAGTGCAATTATTGTCATAAAATGGGGCACATTAAGGCAGATTGTTTCAAATTGAAAAATAAATTGAAACAAAAGGGAAACCTGGTGAGAAAAATTTTGAACTGCCGAAACTGGTGTTGCAGCTGATGAGAATGAAGGAAGTATTTTCTTTGTGACTGATGACAGGACAAGGTCTAAAAATGAATGGATTTTAGATTCGGGGTGCTCTTATCACATGTGTCCCAATAGGGATTTATTTTCCACTTATGAATCTTACAATGGTGGAATTGTTTTGATGGGTAATAATGCTGCTTGTAATGTTGTTGGTAAGGGTACAATTCGAATTAAAATGCATGATGGTATTGTGAGGACGCTCACTAATGTTAGACATGTTCCTGATTTGAAAAAAATCTCATCTCTTTGGGCACTCTAGAGGCTCTTGGGTGCAAATACACAGGTGAAAATGGCATTATGAAGGTTTCTAAAGGTGCTCTCGTTGTAATGAAAGCTTGCAGGGTTGGTAGTTTATATGTTTTGCAGGGATCTACTGTCACAGGCTCGGTTGCAGTTTCGTCATCATCATCTTTGTCTGATTCTGACATCACTAAATTGTGGCATATGCGTTTGGGACATATGAGCGAGAAAGGCTGGGCATACTAAGCAAAAGGGGACTTCTTTGCGGTCAGAGTACTGGGTCACTGGAATTCTGTGAACATTGTATCTTTGGGAAGCAAAAAAGAGTTAGCTTCAGTTCTCAAGCAATCCATAAGACGAAAGGTACTCTTGATTATATTCATTCAGATTTATGGGGTCCATCTCGTGTTCCGTCTAAGGGTGGTGCCAGGTATATGTTGACTTTCATTGATGATTATTCAAGAAAAGTTTGGGTTTATTTTCTTAAACATAAGAATGATGTTTACCTCACTTTCAAGCAATGGAAAGTTTTGATTGAGAAACAGACAGGTAAACAGGTCAAGCGGCTTAGAACAGATAATGGTATGGAATTTTGTGAAAGAGAATTTGATGAATTTTGCAAGAATGAAGGAATTGTTCGGCATCACACTGTCAGGATGACGCCTCAGCAAAATGGTGTGGCCGAACGTATGAACAGAACACTTTTGGAGAGAGCGAGGTGCATGATCTCTAACGCAGGGTTGGCCAAGGATTTTTGGGCTGAAGCAATTTCTATGGCCTGTTATATTGTCAACCGTGCTCCTTCTGCTGCTCTTAATTTCAAAACTCCTGAGGAAATTTGGTCAGGTACTCCTGCTGATTATTCTGATTTTAAAATTTTTGGGTGTCCAGCATACATGCATGTAAATGATGGAAAATTGGAACCTCGAGCTAAAAAGTGTATTTTCCTTGGGTATGCTTTGGGGTGAAAGGATACAGATTATGGTGTCCTGATCCTAAATCTCCAAAATTTATAATCAGTAGAGATGTTACTTTTGATGAATTCTCTATGTTATCTTCCAAGAAGGAGTCTTCTAGTTCTTGTCAAACAGATGATAGTATGCAGAAGCAGGTGGAGCTTGAGATTGGTAGTTCTGGTCCTTCTATTCAACAAGTGCCAGTAGATGCATCTGAATCTACTGATGAAAATAATTCAGAAGAGAAGAATATTCCATTGCCAGAGATAGACCAAGGAGGGATATTCGACCACCACAAAGATATGCAAATTTGGTTGCATATGCTTTGTCTATCGCAGAAGAAACTGATGTAGTTGATGAACCTACTACTTATTCAGATGCGATTTCTTGTGATGATTCTGCTAAGTGGTTGGTTGCGATGAATGAAGAAATTGAGTCTCTCCATCGAAATGGAACTTGGGTTCTTGTGAAGCCGCCTCCAGGTAAGAAAATTGTTGGATGCAAATGGGTCTTCAAGAAGAAAGAAGGTATTCCAGAGTTGAAGATGCAAGGTATAAAGCACGTTTGGTTGCAAAGGGCTATAGTCAGGTACAAGGTGTTGATTTTAATGAAGTATTTTCACCTGTTGTTAAGCATAGCTCTATTCGTGTTTTGCTTGCTTTAGTTGCCATGTATGATTTGGAGTTGGAGCAACTTGATGTTAAGACAGCTTTTTTACATGGTGAACTTGAAGAAAAAATTTATATGAAACAACCTCAGGGATTTGAAATTGAAGGAAAGGAAGACCATGTTTGTTTGTTAAAAAAATCCTTATATGGATTGAAACAGTCTCCAAGACAGTGGTATAAGAGATTTGACACTTTTATGCTGAGTCATGGTTATTCAAGGAGCATGTATGATAGTTGCGTTTACTTCCGGAAGTTAGATGATGGTTCTTTTATTTATTTGCTGCTTTATGTTGATGACATGCTCATATGCTGCCAAGAATTTGTCAGATTCACACTTTGAAGTTGCAGTTAAGTAGTGAATTTGACATGAAACATTTGGGAACTAAGAAAATTCTTGGCATGGAGATCAAAAGAGACCGAGGAGCTGGAAAATTATTCTTGACTCAAGAAAATTATCTTGAGAAGGTTTTGGAGAAGTTTGGCATGAAAGATGCTAAACCTGTGACTACTCCTCTTGCTAGTCATGTTCGACTATCTGCTGCTCAGTCACCACAGTCAGTTGAAGAGGAAGAGTATATGGCACGGGTTCCTTATTCCAACGCAGTTGGTAGCATTATGTATGCAATGGTTTGTACTCGTCAGATATTGCACAAGCGGTCAGTGTAGTTAGCAGGTATATGTCGTGTCCTGGAAAAGCACATTGGCAGGCTGTGAAGTGGATTCTCAGATACTTGCAAGGGACTTCAAATTGTAGTTTGGAGTTTGGAAGAAATAATGACACTTTGGTTGGTTTTGTAGACTCTGACTATGCTGGGGATCTTGACAGGAGAAGATCACTTTCAGGTTACGTATTTTGCATTGGCGGTTGTGCAGTTAGTTGGAAAGCTACTTTACAACCCGTTGTAGCTTTATCTACTACAGAGGCAGAATATATGGCCATGACTGAGGCAATCAAAGAAGCCTTGTGGTTGAAGAGTCTGTTTGGCGAACTTAGTCTGCATCAAGGTGTTACACTATTTACTGTGATAGTCAAAGTGCCATTCATTTGACTAAAGACCAGATGTATCATGAGAGGACGAAGCACATTGATGTGAAATTTCATTTCATTCGAGATACTATTGCTGAGGAAAAGTCCTTGTTCAGAAAATCAGTACCAAGGAGAATCCTGCTGACATGTTCACGAAACCTCTTCCAGTTTACAAGTTCAAACAATGCTTGAATTGGGTTGGTATTCGTTGTTGGTGAGCCCATTGGGGTTTATGTGGAGAAGGTGGAGCAACTGTTGATGTTGGGGACACGCCAAGGTGGAGATTTGTTAGTGTGGCGTTGTCCCACATCGGCTTTTGTATAAGGGAACCTTTCCCTTGGTGTGCCTATAAATATAGTGGGCCTGTGATGGAGTTAAGTGCACCAAAATCAAGAGAGTATTAGTGGGCTATTTGGGCCTTTGGGTCATTAAACCTTTTATTTAGTTAAATACTTTTGGGCTCTCTTGTGTTTTAGTATTAGGTGTTTTGGGCCTAGGAACACTTTCCTAAGGCCTTTGTACTCTCTTCTTCATAGTAAAATATTGCTCCTCCTCCGCCCGTGGACGTAGGTCAATTGACCGAACCACGAATTCTTGTGTTCTTGTTTTACTTATTTCTGCTTTGTTATTTGTCATTTGGGATTACTACAAATCCTTTTGTCAATTTCCTGGGGCCAGACTAACAGCAAGTCCTTTGGAATCCATCAAATTGGTAGGTTTTATATCCCTTGCAACTCTCCTTGAAGGATTATGCAGGAGCAGAAGCAAAAGCCAAATATTTACATATGGATGAAAAGTGTGCTTGACTAGAAGGTTCTTCTTCAAATACTACGATTAAAAGATGACCCTGAAAGATAGTGTTTCTCATTGAGGCTGAAAAATGAATCAAATTACTTGATACTCAAATCAAATTGGTTAAATAAAAATTTGTTTGGACTTAGTTTGCCAACTAATCAAATCAAAATTTAAGAAGTATTATTATGTGTTAGATTAACTATCAAACTTGGCATTAACTTGGCTTGATTAACATAAAGTTAGAATTTACAAGCAAAAAATTCAAGTTACTCAAGTTTAACTCATGCTCGATTCTATTAAAACTCATTTAAGTTTGACTATTAATAAACAAGTCAAGTTTGAAGACCTTTCTCTTAAAGAAATTTAAAAAAATAAGTTTGAGTACAGTTTCAAGTTTATTAAATAATCTAACAAGTTGAATACTAGAACGTTGAATCTAGTAGATCTAGACAAAATCACTAAATTTATTTTAGACCATAACTGTAGATTGTTTTAGAAAAAAAAAAGGACCAAAATGTAGACCACCTACATGATGCAAACCAACCAGCCACCGTGATCCATGCTGTAACCTTGCTAGCTTCACTTTGCTATCGCCTTGTATAAATAGCCGCATAGCCCCAAGGGTCTTTTCACCACCAAAGTTACATTTTGAGTCTGTTCATATGCAAGGCATGGCTTCATCTATCGCTTGGATCGCAGTCTTTTCAATTGCCCTGGTATGGTTTCTCAACCATCAATACTGTACTTGAAGTAGTTGTTCATATGAGATAATTGCTAGACTGTATAGGAATACTGATGAAACCCGTGAATTAAAGCTACCTGAGAAAACACATTCTTCTTCCTTTTTGCACATTTATCTGCAGCTCTTCAGATGGCTCTGTAGTTCTATTCTCATAAAAGCTTGACTTCCAAACATTACCAATGCTGGTACCATACTTAAACGTCAATGTAACTTGAGTAATGGCATATGACACTAATTACCATTTTTAGTTAGAGGATTCATCCGGAAAAGATTGAAAGTCAAATCAAGAACCTTAAAATCAACAAATGAATATTCCTGTTGCCAGTTGAGCTCGTATTTGACATTAACTATCCTTCCCTACAAGGGTCATCTTTTACAGTGCTACCATCAACATACCTATATTGACGTTAGTTTCTTTTATGTTGATATTTGCATTAATGTGCAGTTTGCATGCATCACGGAAGCAAGGAAGAATCCTACCGATTTTTTGCAATCTGCTGTCATTAATGAGCATACTGAGGACAATCACCATGCAGAGTCGACCCTTTCCAATCAGAAGAAGACAACTAATGGTAATACATTGAAGGATTTTGAGTATCATGGCACTGACGCTAAGTCTAAGGAGGGGAAACTTCTTATAAAGACTTTGAGTCGAAGCCTGGCTCCATTTTGTTCCTTTATCATGGCAACGACGCTAAGTCTAAAGAGGAGAAGCCTCTTATGAAAGACTTTGAGTCAAAGCCTGGCTCCATTTTGTTCCTTTATCATGGCAACGACGCTAAGTCTAAAGAGGAGAAGCCTCTTATGAAAGACTTTGAGTCAAAGCCTGGCTCCATTTTGTTACTTTATCATGGCAACGACGCTAAGTCTAAAGAGGAGAAGCCTCTTATCAAAGACTTTGAGTCAAAGCCTGATCCATCTAAAGACGTTAAGTCTGAGGAGGAGAAACCACTCGTGAAAGATAATTAATGTCCAGGGAAGCCGCAACTTTACCTCTGAATGGACTACGGACATACATCTCTTCTAGCTGGTCTGTTTTTCTCCATTTCTTTATTGGCGTGAAAATGTGTGATATGTAATAAATGCAGTTCTTCTTTCAACCAAGCGTTCCGTATAATTAATTAAATGAAAGTCAGTAGCGTTGAGTGCATTTTCTATTTCTTTGTTTGTTGTTCCTTTTGCCATTGACCATATACAGGAAGCGCACAAAAAATGAGCACTATTCAAGCATGACGAGAATCATAGAGTGAGCGAACCACTATACCTTGATAATCTAAAAGAGTTCTGCAAACTCGTACTCTTGCACGAAACCAGGACCATATATATATATATATATATATATATATATAGCGATTCAATTTTCTAATGATGTGTGCGGTACGAATGCACATTAGAAGTACAGAGAATTCTAGAGTAAACTTTCACAAAAGAAGGAAAGAATGGAGAACTCTTGAAGCGTGATTGATCGCTATTCTTAAGAATTTAATTATCCATACTACACTAAGTATTTGCTGTAGCGATATGGTAATTTTAACTTTAAGATACAACAAGAGAAGAAGAAGTTGATAGCAAATATCAAGTTTCTCAAACTAAGAAATGATCAAATAATTAAAGGCTTGTTTTTTCTTACAAGTAACCGTGTTTTCCACTCGTCTCTAAGTATCCTTTGATACATGGCACTTAATCCCAATTATTGGACTTTAAACTTCGTTCTGTGATATGGATTCTATGTGTTAGTCTCACGATCCATCTTAACTCAAGGGGCCACTATGAATTAGCATGAACATGAAGTTGTATTTTGATTCTCAAGCTATTCCTTCCTCTTTCTTCATTGTAAGGATTATAGCCTCTTTTGAAAAAAAAAAAAAAAAACTCTAATTATACAGGATTAAAGCAAGTAGCAACGGTCTATAAAGGATAAAAAGTAAACAGGCTGGGGCATATTTATTAAACATGAAAATATATGAAATTTTATAATACACATGATACGAATAATAAACTGTACCTAAATAATGCAAATATACTCGAAAAGTACAAAGCTGAAAACACAACTTCATTTACCATGTGCATAATAGTTGTGTGCACATTTTAGTGAAGATTTTTTATTTGTAGTGTAAGTGAAAAGTTTCGAATTTCAAAACCTTTCATTTACACTCTCTTTTTCCATATCATCCAATCCATCCCTTTCCGTATTTTTATGAAGATAAGCACATAATGTGAGTTTTTATTTTTTGAGGTGAATAACTGTTCACAAAAAGTTTTCTTGATTTAGGTAAAGTTTAAACTTTACGTTGTCTAAACAACGCAAGTAGATGCCACTAGGACAGAAGTCATTATGATGACTTCATCCAAGGTAACGGAAAAAAAAGTGTACAATTGCACTTAAAATTTTGTGAATTTATAGTACTATTTCATGGTTTATCCCCTCATGAGTGTAATTCAAATTTATTGCTCCATTATGTGTGTACAATGTATCAAAACAAAAAAGTAGCAGATTGTGTTTTATTGCACTTTTTGTTTAGCTAGCTTCATGCAAATTAACCTTCGTAGATTATAGGTAAAGAATTGGTTTGCCATTCAATGTATCCTAGAAATATGTGTTAGTACATAACGTTTATTTAATTTACGACTCAAGGTGATGCAAAAATAGAGTAATTTTTAGAAATTGTCAAAATGTGCCAATATATAGGGGAGCAGTTACATGACCCACGCGCCGCGTAACCTCGTGTCGGCTGTGCAACTTGCATAGCTGCAATCTCAGTTTTTCTAGAGCTATTACAGCTCATTACAAGCAAAGAATTTCGAATACAGTTGTAAAGAAGAGCATGAAAAACTTGTAGAAACATAATTTGGGAATATCAAGTATTGCACATCAACTTTAACAATTTATTTGGAGTTTGAATTCATCTATAAATAAGAGGATTGAATACATATTTTCTTAACTTTGAAACCTAGAGAAACTACACAAAATGTAGTCTTTCACTATAACTTCCTAGTTCATTAGTGTAGTACAACTTAGTATAGTTTTTCATTTAACCCTTGTATGGAGAGATTGAAACTCAAGTGACAAGTGTGACATTTCTTGTATCACTTTATATCTTGTATTGATTCTTATATTTAGTTATAATGTTTTGTTCTTATTTCTTAATGTTTATCTTTTGATGGTTTGTATACCTAGGGAATTGATGAATTTCTATGATTTTTAAGTGAAATTTTCATGGTTATTTGTGTTGATTTTTTGAACAAGTTATTTAACACTCTTGTTTCTAAAATCATGATTAACTCGGTACTATTAATTGTAATTATCCAAAGGTATTGTTTCATCAATAACCATTGTGACTTAATACTAGTTCATGAAAGTGTTAAATTTAGAGAGTTCACTCACTAATGTAAGGTTATACCTTTGTCAATTTGGCATCTTGTTCCATGTAATTTTATAAAATTTAATGAATCGAAACTAGTTCCATATCATGTTAGTAGGCGTGAAATAGTTATAGGTATAGTTGGCACGTCGACGAAAGCATGTATCATGTATATTAGAACATTATACCATAACTAGCTAAGGTAATAACACTCATGTAATCGGTAACTTCATTTGTAAGAGTAGTTAGGAATTTTCAAGACCTTAAAAGCTTTTTATTGTTATTTTTACTACTTTTATTTCATGTTAGTAGTATAATTTACTTGTTTTATTTGTGATTGTCCAAATCATAGAAAAGTTCGAAAATAATTAGTAATTGATAATCTTCCCCATGCGATCAATATTTAATATCCCTTATACGCGATAAGTCTGTTTTTGAGATATTTTCATTTTAGACTATTATTTATTTTGACTTAAATTATATTGTGTTTGAAAAAGAACCTTTTGAATAAAATTATAAAATGAAAATATAAGAGCATGTAGATTTAGTATGTGAGAAATTATTTATAGCCAAGACTAATCTAATAAATCATGAAAATAATTGATGAATTAACATGTGAGAGATAGAGAAGAATGTGGGTAAGTGAGTAGGAACAAACTTCAGTTAGAGAGAGAGGAAAAGTAATTAGTGCTTAATGGATGTAAAAATATCAAGAAGAATGTATGAAGTTAACTGATTAAGGGTAACCTTGGTATTTGATAAACATTTGCCCTGAAAATATCGCTAGCCCTGTCGATTTTTCTGTTGAATCGACTGGGAAGAGATTTTATTTACTTTTTTAATTTGGATACTATTAGTTTAGGAATCATATATTTAGTTTCCCTTTTTTATTAGTTTTAGTATTTATTAGTATTCTATTAAAAAAGGATTCTTATCCTTTGTGTAATGGGGAATTACGTGAGTACTGGTACGAAGGATTGGTGGTGTGTTTCTGGGATACGGCCGTGAAGAAACGAAAACAGCCAGAAAGAATGACGCACTAATATTTGGTTATTCTTTTGTTCGTTAGTTAGAAAAATTAATTTTCCCTTTATTACTTTCTTCTTTTTCTCTTCAACCACAAGCCCTAGTCATACTTTTGGCTGCAGATCAACCATGACAAGTGGATAAATTCCTGCTCTAGGCAAAGAATAATCAAAATTCTGATTTATTGAATACTATGGGATCTAATTTGATTTATTTGCTTTATTTAGTTATAAATATTTATATATTCCCTATTCATTCATGAGAATGATTATTTATACAATTAAATAACTTATCACTATTTACTAGTTAGAATAATCTACTATTATCTAAAACATCAAATTCATAATTTTTTGGTAATTTTATATTTGTTGTGAGTGAGATAATTTAATTGTAATAGAAACTTTTAAATTTATGTCACGCAAGTATACAATCTATGTAAATGAACCAAACTTACATGTTTGTTAGATAAAATTGGTAGCTTTTCTAATAATTTATGGTAGCTTTTCTAATAATATGTTTGTTAGATAGAACTGATAGCTTTTCTCATAATACCCTGATTAATTTATTAACATTTTAAAAAAATCACTCAGTCTATGAGAATATGACCTTACTTGTCACTACATTTGAATTTGTATTTTTGGAATAGGAATTTTTTTTTTTTTTTTGGGTTTGACAGCCACCATAAATCTTCAAGCATTTGGAGTTTCTGGAAAGGGACTTGGGGAAAAACAAAAATAAAGCCCCTGAAGTAGGGGTGGGCACGGGTCGGGTACCCGTCCCTACGATTTGACTGACCCAACGCCTAAAATATCGGATCAGTCATTTTGCGACCCTAACCCGCTCCTAATGTTTTCGGGTACCCGCTATTCAAGTACTCAAGAAAAAGGGACGGATCATAGGGTACTCGTCCCAAAAAAAATTTCCAATAAAAAATATTTTTCATTTAATATCAACATATTTTCCAATAAAAAAATATGCTTTCCAATTAACATTGGTAGAGATATTATAATCAAAATCTATACATCATCATTCTCATGCACTTCATCGAATAATCAAACCGATCTCATAAATTTAGTACATATTTGAATTATAATATCTAATAGATAAAACGAAATTTTATGATAATTTTGAGTACATCACCATTCTCACGCATTTCATCATTCTACAACCTAACAAACACAAGGATAATAAGTATTTGACAACTTTCCAACTTCCTTAAGGATGTTATGGTACAAGACTGCATCCAAAATGAGTCGATTGTGGAATCAAGTCCGAAAAGAATTGAACAGACCTAATAATTTTTGAAGAAAGTAAAATCAAAATAATCTTGAAAAATTTGCGCAACTTTCTTACATCTTTGGAATAGACCTTATTGCATTAAAGGTGATGAAAAAGAAAAATAAATTTCTTGCACTAAAATAAAGGACACAAATTTAAGAGACACAATTGCAATAAAATAATAAATAAATGAAAGACACAAATGTTTTAATTATCTAACTAATAGAAAATTGGAGCTCCAAACACAAATTTTTGATTGAATTGATGAAAATTTTGCAAGAAAGATCGATGGAAGTAGAATAAAGATGAAAGGGATGAACAATTTTATGATAGAGTTTCACTAATTTTTCTTTATTTTGTTCATTTTGGTTCAGGTTTCATAAAAAATATTCGTTTTTTTTAGACAAGATGAGGAGAGGCGGATCATATGAGATTAGAATATGAGGTTCTGAACCACTTTCCTTACACTTAGGATTAAAAATTATAAACTT